CTAAAATTAATACATTTTCAACTCCAAATTTTATTGATTAAATATATTTTAAAAAAACAAAAAGTCATAAAAGTCCTAATATTTATAAAATCTAATCCCTTTTATACTTTTTTGGGACAAAGAGATCACGAGTTCTACACGTGATATATAAAATCAGGCGACTATTTATAAATTTGATAAATACTAAACAAAATAATTATTAAAAAATAAATAATTTAAATAATAATATGACAAGCGGCCATTTTTTATGAAAATAAATTTTTGGGATATAAATGACCGCAATTAATTTTACTGTTAAAAATTAATTACTCGCTTCATAGACAATGGTGGTCATTTTTTTTTGAAATCGATGTGAAAACAATCAAAATTAAAATGACTGAAATTAATATGACCACTAAAAATATTAATTATTTGCTTCAAAAAGATTAGGGGCCATTTGCTTAAAAATAATTGGTTTTATAATTATTCAATTATATAACTAATATTAATTTCTGTTTCAAAAACATTGACGGTATATTTTAATTGAATATTGTTAGGATTAATAAGACCGCTGATAATATTATTTTCTCGCTTCATAGAAAATGGCAGCCAAATTTTATATTTTATAACACTCATTACTTAGCTCATCATTTTTTCATTTGCTTAGGCTTACTAGGAGCTCTATATTTTAATTTTTCGATGTCCTCACTACGTCATTGTGACTTCATGTCATCGCTACGTATTTATTTATTTTTATTAATTTATTTATTTTTATTAATTTATATATTTTTATAAAAGCAAGACTAAAATAAAAGCCTGGTAAATAATATTTATAATTTTTAAAAATTTTTATTTATTTACTTTTTTTATAGGTGAAATATTTTGAGAAGAAAATCCAAGAAAGCAAGACTCAAATAAAAAGCAACTATAATCCTCGTAAATAATATTTTTAATTTATGATATCAAAAATTAAATATCATTCAATTATTAATTCAACCCATATTCATTTTGAGAAGAAAGGGTAAATAATATTTTTTATTTATAAAAATGAGTTTTTACAAATCAAACAATCATACACCCTTATTTTCCAAAAAAATGAGTTTTTACAAGGGCTAATATCAAAAAATAAATATCATTCAATTCTTTCAAGTAAATTAAATTATAAATGCTTATATTTTTTTACATTTAGAATATATCAATTTTAGCTTCTGATGATATTCTCACTCTTTCTAGAGAGTTGAACCTAATATTGATTCCTCTTCAGGTTTAATACATTAATATTTTTAAAATTATTCGTATGTTTTTATTTTAGATAACAAGCCCTATCTTAACCTCTCTTATTGATTGTACAGATGCTGATTAAACAACTATTATCCTGGTAAATTATTATTTTTTATTTATTAAAATGAGTTTTTACAAGGGTTGATATCAAAAAATAAATATCATTCAATTATTAATTCAGCCCATATTTATTTTGAGAAGAAAAGCAAAGTAAGGGTAATAATATTTTTAATTTATAAAAATGAGTTTTTACAAATCAAACAATCATCATACACCCTTAGTTTACAAAAAGTATAACATCAATAATTTAAACTTTCCCATTCCAGCTACACACATTCAAAATTATTATAAATATTTATGAAAATAGTTTCAAAACACAAAAGATTAACCCTACCTTTTTTTAAACAAAAATGTGGTATAAAACAAGGATGTGCTACCCCCCATTTTCAATCTACTAATTAGTGACATCACAAATACTAGTAAAAAATGTAGACTGGCTATGCTACGCCGACAACATATATATCATTATTGAAGATGTCACTAACATTAATTATTTTAACAATAGTCTTAAATAATATGTGAAAAATCAGCCTGATAAAAAATTAAAAAAACTATTCTATTTTCCTTTCCTTCCCTTTAAATTTCTTCTATTATCTTCACCTTTCTCAAACTTTTTAATTTCCTATTTCTTTCTCTTTAGCTTCCTTTCCCTTTTAATTTCCCTATTTTCTTTCCATTTACAATACTTAGTATGATATTTTTTATAATTTAAATAAATTTATATATCTATTTTAAGCATCCTACTATTTTTAAAGCTATCCATTTTTCCGGGCCGCACAATATGTCCTTTTATCTCTGATGAGTGTTTTGTCTAACTAACAGAAAAATATCCAAAGTACATTATTTTTATTTAACTAAATTAATATATCAATTTTTATGGTTCCTATTTTTTTAAAAGCTTGCCTTTTGTCAGATCCACAATTGCTCTATTCTCCATGCTGATTATTTTGTATAACTCACCAAAAAATAAGTAAATTATTTTTATTATAAATAATTTTATATAGTATTTTATATCTATCCAAAAAATCGATATATATATTTATTACAATATTTTTTTAAATTATATATTTATTCTTAAGGATCCTACCTTTTTAACAATACTCCTTTTTATTCTTACTAATTTTTTTGTATAACTCAATAAAAAAGACAAAACGAGGTTTTCTATCTTTAGGACTTTACATTTATTCCAAAACAAAATACATACTATGGTATTTATATTATTTAAATTATTCTATATCTATTCACAATGTTCCTATTTTTTATTTATTTGCCAATTGGATTCTCCGAATGGTATTTTATTTAATCCTACCATATAAAATTAACTTGAGAATTGTTTTGTTTTTAATTTAGTTAACTATGTCCATCTTATTTCCTCTTTATAATTGTTCAAATATTGATATATCAGTCATTAATAATGAACAAATGCAAAATAAACCTTTAGAAGAACATGATAGGCTTGATAAGTCCCCAAAAAAACTTTTTTGATTATAGCCCCCCAACTACTAGAAATATACTTCTAATATTGACTCCTCTACAGGTTTACAGTATATTAATGTTTGTTTAATTTCAACAATAGTTTATTTATATTTATGGCTGATTTCTTTATTTGTCTAGGCTAACCCAATCTTAATCCCTCACATTGTTACAAAACATGATAAATCTATTATTAAGGATAAGAAAAGAAAAAAATGCCGATTCAACAAACGCCTTACCCTTTCTAGAGTTACTGGTGGCCAAGATAATAAGGAACTGTGAACTCCTCTGGAGGTTTATTTTGTTTTTTATCTAATGTTTTATATACATATGTTTATTTTATATTCACCCAGTTGCCTCCAAATGATATTTTCTATCACCACTACCACAATCTCTATGCCGCCTCTGCCTAATTTTTAACAAATATAAGCATTTAATTCCACTATCATTCACCTCACTAGGAGTTAATATAAATAATACTTTATCCGATTCCACAATGAACTTTCATGAATATTTAGAGGGATGTTCAAACGTGAATGTACAGTACGGCCAATTTCATCAACTTTATTAATGGGAAAATATGCAGTAGTTCTGTCGTGGCCTTTTAAACAATACTTACGACCGTTTTATGGTTGAGTTAACATTGTCGTTCATGATTCTATTTTAGGGGGAGGGGTACCAAAACTGACACTTTGGCAGAAATATTATTTTTCTATCTTCTTTTACCAGTAGCCCAAGGCCTCAGCTTTATCAGGACGCAATGGGTGTTATACACTGCTTTGGTAATCCTCAATTATTCATTACTTTCACCTACAACCCTAAATGGGATGATATTATACATTAATTATTTCCTCTGCAGACAACTGCCCAGATTTATTTTGTCGCTTTTTTCATCAAAAATTAAAATGTCATAAAGGATTTGCTCTTAATTTTATTAGACACACAAAATAATAATTAATCCTCATCATTTTTTTTAAAATTACCTAAATTTATATGGCAAGAAAAACTAATTTCTTAAAAAATATATAAATAATTTGCATATTCATTAGTGTTTAATGGCATTTTTCTAATTTAAATAGACAGCCTTTTTTTTTTTTTACTTAACATAAAAAAATATATATCCCTTATCAAATTCTTTGATAAATAATTTCAGAAATGCAAGACATACGTTAAATTTATCTTAAAAAACAACAATAACCCTATATAATAAACAACATATTTTTTAGATATAATTTTAATTGATCATATTTCAAAAAAGTATAAGAGTCGGTTATTTTTATTTTATTTGTCATGAATCTCTAATATGTGGTTTCCCAGGCCTTCCCAGTTTCCCTTAATACGGAATTTACATTACATGTTTTTTTCCATATTAGACTAATTGGTAAATCAGATATTTTCCGTTCATGTGATGATATTAAAAATTTAACTATCTCCGTGGCGGGAAAATTTTTTTAAAATTATAATGGGTAGGACTGGGCATGGAACCTCAAAATTAATATTAGCTAGCACCTGACTTGGGAATATCTTTTCAAATTATCAATTTTTTAAAATTATAAGATCTTGGATGCTTCCTAATATCGTGAGCTTGAACCTGGCCTGACATCTATCGTAAAAAATGAATAAAAATCTCATTCCCCGTCATTTTTGATAGGCTTTCTACTAGTATATATAATTTTTTTATTGAAATTTGCAAACTATGAACAATTATTCTGAATTTCATATTTTGTCCTTTATTATACATACAAACTTAGCTTATAAATAATGTAAATAAAACAATACAAGACATTTCTAAAGATTATATTTTTAATACAAAATATTTATCTATATTACAATAAAATATTTTCGATTGTGAATTTAAAAAAATTTTGCATCTAAAGATTTACAAGTGATATAAAATTAATTTACACTGCCTCAATTGATAAATGGGTTAATAATAAATATTTTAAAATTATTTTAATGGGTCGACACTCGACAGCCACATCCCAATGAAGTTATCGAAACTCGATTTGACCATATTCAATGAAATATTTTCACATTTTATTTTCTTATTTAGAAAGAAGGAATAAGGAATTGTGAATATATTTTAAAGTAATTTTGTAATTCTGCAATGATACGCTATTTTTAAATTTGTTAGAAAATATTTATCAGGATATAATTATTCTTGCCAGATCTCAAAATGAAAGCTGTCAGTGAATTATTATTAAGTCACTTTTGATTTTATAATATTTTTATTCTTTTATTTATGTTTTTTGAATCTTTTGAGATAAAATGTGTCAAAATGATGTTCCAACTACAAATAAAGGTTGTTATATAATATTTCATTCAAGCAATCCTATTTTTAAGGAGATTTAGATCTTCAAATTGAAAAATTATTTAATTGTCAATTGATATCTGAACAAGAAGTAAAAAGTTTATGTTCAAAAGCTCGTGAAATATTAGTACAAGAGAGTAATGTGCAAAGGGTTGATGCACCAGTTACAATATGTGGAGATGTTCATGGTCAATTTTATGATGTTGTCGATAGGCTTTTTAAAAAATCTGGAGGATTATTACCAAAAACAAATTATTTATTTTTGGGTGATTTTGTTGATCGTGGTTTTTATAGTGTTGAAACCTTTTTGCTTCTTTTAGCACTTAAAGTACGTTATCCTGATCGAATTACATTAATTAGAGGAAATCATGAAAGTAGACAAATTACACAAGTATAAATAATAACATAGACAATCTTTAACATCAGAGCACTAAATAAGAATATTTGTAAGAAGGGATGGAATTACTTGGTGAATTTAGGAATTAATGTTTGTGTACATGTATTAATAGTAATTATAAATATTTTTTCACAAATTTGATGAGAAAACTCATATCTATAATGTGAATAGAGGGTATTAATTAATAATATTAATAAAAAATACCTTGAGATAGCTTATTTTTTTATCAAATATAAATTTAATTAGGTTTGGCTTACATTAAAAAAACACACAACATCCCATACTTTAAATCGGTGGGTCTAAAATCAGTGTTGTTAAACTGCTCGATTTGAGCCGATTTTTAAAAAAGGCTAACTCAAAATTTTATCCAGAAAAATATTACTCAAGCCTGAAGATTTTGCTCATAGATGGCACAAAGTTCTAGATATCTATTAACAAAATCTAGAGCCTTAGGCAATATTTTTTTGAACAACACTATCTAAAATATTAAACATTGAGAAACCTGGTGGGCAATGAAAATTATTTAATAATTAAGTTGGTAAGTTTAAAATATTTGATAAAATAAACAAAACAATCTTATATTTATAAAGATAAAAAAAATTTTTTTATTCCCATTCAAATAATATTGATGGGTTTGTGGACTAAACAAATTTATAGATTAATGGATGGGTGAATTTTTTAAAAAAAAGAAGGGCCAGCAGGGGAATTGAATAGATGGATTTTGGGGTAAAACCAGCCATTGCAGACCTCTAATTAGCCAGTTTGGGTAAAAATTTAAAGGATCTTTCAAGATATTATTTTTATCTCTAAGTTTAATTATCCTTTTAGTGTATAATTAATTAAATTATATTACACATATATATGTTGTATTTCATATTAAATCATCCAAAAAAAATCGATTCTCAACCTGACTAGTGTTGTTAAATGGCTCATTTTGAGCCGATTTTTTAAAACGGCTGACTCAATATTTTAGCCAGAAAAATATTGCCTAAGCCTCCTAGATTTCAATAATATATGTCTAGATCTTTGTTCCTTCTATGAACTAAATCTTCAGGCTTGCGTAATATTCTTCTGGATGAAATATTGAATTAGCCGTTTTTAAAAATCAGCTCAAAATGAGCCGTTTAACAATACTAAACCTGACCCCCTTTGATTTTTTAAAAAATTTGTATGTTGGTAGTATATACACTAACTAATAAAATGTAAAATTTTAATTTTCAAATCGGCTTACTTCATGAGATATGGCCATCTGTAAAAACGCGAAAATTTCAAAATACACTATATTTAATTTTAAATATCTCAAAAAGGACTTAAATCTTATTAAATAGCTCTAGAATAGCCCTTTAATATGATATATTACCAAAAACCAGAAATGGCTATAAAATAAAAATTGCTCTTTTTTTTCTTTCAAATTTTTTTTTACAGATAGATATTTTACTTAATATTTATACATAATCCTAGATTGGGATGAGTACTGGGCCAATAGTAATTACACATGGCTTAAATTCTATATTATACCAAATGTATTGTAATTTACGAAACAAATAAAAAGAAAATTTGTTTGGGATCTGGCTGGCAGTGTTGTTAAAATAGTGCGCTACTTTTTTCAGTAGCGGTAGCTTTAGCTGGCTACTTTTTTTTAGAAAATAGCAATAGCGATAGCTCTCTACTAATTTAGAAAGTAGCACTACTTTCAATTTTACATATTAAATACATCTAAAAATTATTAAAATACATTTTTTATTAAATCTAAAATTATAATCCTTTAATTTAATTTTGAAATTTAAATTTATATTTAAAAATATACATTATAAATCTAGTTAGCATTATAAATCTAGTCATTAAAAATGTGTGAGATTGTTGAAGATAGCAAAATTTCTTTGGAAAATGAGAAAAATATAGATTATCCTTTCCCAAAATTCAAAAAATACTTTATTAATCTTGAAGAAAAAAATACTACTGGATATCGATTTCAATGTAAGAAAATTTTGCCAACTACTGGTAGAGTCTATGCTAAAAGGCATTGAGAAAAAGTCAAAACTTTATTTTTATTTTCTATTATACAATTATATAAAATGAATGATTTATTGCTTGATTAGCCATAATTTAAATTGGCTTAATTTACAATACAATCTATAATATTAATATATAGTATTAATATAAAATTCTAAATTAATATATTATTAATTACCTTGTGTAAAATAATTATATTTTTAAAATCTTTATATTTTAATATTTTTTTATAAATGAATCTAAATCTCAGATAAATTTAAATTTTGAAAATTAAAAAGGTATGTATTCTTCTTAATTAATACAATCGCCTTATATAAATTATCCAGATCTGTATGATGATGATAATGTAATAGCTGCTATCGTTCATCCTAGTTTCAAGTTAAATTGGCCATACTTAATTTGACTAAATCTAAAAGGCAACTTGATAGGCTGATGATAACGTTAAAAAATGTCATGCCTAACCACGATACTAATACTATAGCAAGATCGAAACCGCGGCCTTCCATAGACGATTTTTTTGAAATAATAATAATATATTATTGAACCTCTAGATGCGATTTTTAAATCTAAAAATACTCATTTAAATATCTTTGATGATTTTTTTCATATTAAAAGTGTGTTTATTAAATTTAATACTCGTTGCCCTCAAGTGCTAGTGCTGAACGATTATTTAGTATGGCAAAGCTTATACTTCTGATCGTCGCTCTAGAATTGGGGAAGATAGTACCGAAATGTTATTATTATTAAAGTGCAATATTAAATAAATTATATATATATATATGTAACAAATTATAGTCATGTTTTTATAACAATACTTTATTTGTGGAAATAAAGTTATGTAAAAAATATTTTTAAAAAAACAAAATAGCATAAAAAGTAGCTAATAGCGCGCTACTCGTTTGAAAGCGGTAGCGATAGCGCGCTACTTTTAAAAGTAGCGTTTAACAACACTGCTGGCCGGATATATTTTTTTATAAATCTTTTGGGCTGTATTAGAAAATTAGACCCTTTGCAGATCACTAGTAGACATTATGTCATATTTGACACATAAGTTTAGCTATTTTATTTTAGAAAGAAAATAATTGTAAAAATATTTATACTTTATTTAGCTAAGTTTACATGAATATCAATGAGAAATTAATATTTTAATAAACATATTAATTAAATAATATCATACAATAAATTAGTGAAGGTCACGGTCCGGTCTTTGGTTCGGACTGGACCGATAACCTCGGACCGGATCGGACCACGGTCCTTAAAAAAATCGATCCAGATCGTGGTTCTAAATAAAAACATATTTTTTTTAACCTAATTTAATTTGTTTTATCATTTTATTAAATATAAGAGTATTATATAAACAATATATAATTAATTATGAATAATATAATAATTAATTATGAATAATATAATAATTAATACAAATATTTAATTTAAATAAATGCTAATGTCTTTGTTTGTAGAACTTCCTTGGAAGGAATTAGAAGAGGGACTTAATGGAGGCGGTAGATCTATTCCATTCTTTAACCAAGAACACATACACATCAAAGCTTGTATTGTTTTGTTTGCCTATTCCTTTTTTTAGTGACAAGATCTCCTGCTTTCGAAAATATTTGTTCACAGGGGACAGATGTTGCTTGAATTGCTAAAAAATTTCTAGCTGCTAATGAGAGGACTGGAAATCTATATAATAAACTATATTGACTAATTAAAAAATATAAAAGACCTTTCACTATTGGCTTTCCACCATACTAATATGTCATCCTTTAATGAAACAAGAGGTTCATTCAAATAGGTGTGAAGTTCTGATATATTTTCTTCAATGATTTCTGCCGATATATAATCCCCTTCTGAATTTCTTTTTTGGGATAAAATTCTTTCTAAAAAACTAAATTCAATGATTTCCTCCTGGTACAAATGTTTGAAAATTAGGATTTAATAAATAAATATTAAAAATATACCTGAGAATCCGTTATTCCTGTATTTTTTTTATTTTCTATTTTCCTTAAATATTTTGAAAATTTGGTCATATACTCAATTCTATGAAGAGTATTAGGCATGTAAACTTGTTTTAATCTTGGATCCAATAATGTTGAGACATATGATTCATAGCAAAATAATTCTTTGAGATATTTCTGCATTTTAACCAGCATGTTATTAAGAATTTCTTGTATTGTTATTATCCTTTTTTATATTATTTAAAATTTCATTATTTATATTCTCCATATATAACATGGAAATCCCAACTGTAGGATATTTGGATCCTGATAAATCAAGTGTGGTTTTATAGAAGGGCCTTAGAAAATCTACAGCCTCTTTTATAAGGTTTTCTTTTTCACATTCAGTAAAGAAAACTCCTTTAAATTGTTTGTAATTCAAAAAAAAAGTACTTCTTCTATAGCATCCATGTTCTAAAAATTAAATATTTTTTAAAAATAATTGGATAAAAATCTAAATACCTCATTAATTGTATTCATCATTAAATAGGAGCTATTCCATCTAATAGGGATATCAGAAGGGATTTTAAATTTTGTAATATCCTTATTTTCACATATTTGTACATATGCTTGATTTATTTTGGGTGATTTATTTATAGAAAAGGCTATGTCTCTACACTTTTCTAGGATAGTTGTAATATGTGATATACCTTCCTGAGATATTAGGTTTAGAATATGGGCATAGCATCTAAAGCCTTTAAATTTTTATTCCTTATAAATATTCTGCAAAATATCCATGCTTTTTAGGATGTTATTGGCAGTATCTGTAGTACAGGCCAGTATATTCTCCTCCAATTGATATACATCAATTACTTCTTTTATAAGGATATTTCTTCAGAAGTATGAGGAAATGGGATATGATTTATATCAAGTAAATTATTTTTTAATGTAAAAGAAGAATCAATATAATGTGCAGTAATGGCTATAAATGAAATTTTATTTATATTGCTCCACATATCTGTGGTAATATTAAAGAATTATTTTTATTTAAAATATCTTTTAGAGAATTTCTTAGTTTCTCAAAATTAGCTGTATAAAAATTTTTAACTTTGTTTTTTGACCAAATTGTAGCAGTTGAGTTTAAATATTTGATTAAATTATGAAGACCTGAACTTTCAAAAGTCTTCATAGGCAGAGAGTCCATTATTACCCATTTTATAATGAGTTGGTTCATATGATCTGTTTGGAATTTATCCAATGGTATTGAAGAAAGTGATTTTGTACTTGTGGAGGGCATATTTAAATTAAGAGTAGATTGTGTTTTTGAGATATTTTCATTTTCATTATTAGAAGTATAAATTTTATGTTTTATCAAATGTCTGCTTAAGGTACCTAATTATTTTATTAAGAAAGGTTAAATTATTTTGACAATGAATTATTCAGACAGTTTCTTAAGAAAAAATAATATATAAATAATAACCAAAATATTTTAATAATAATACTGCTTATTTTGATTAATTTATTGCTTAAAAAATTATAAACAATTATTTTGTTACTTGTTGCTGACGATATGTTAAATTTGGTGTTACAGTGAACACATATTCTATGTTTTTTATTAGGACTATAAGTAAAATGTTTCTTGGACAAACTTATGGTTTTCATATTGTAAAAAAAATTAATAAAATCTAAAATAACTCCTCTAGAAAAATATCATAAAATAAAATATACAAAATAATTATATTAATTAAATAGTAAAGTAAACTTAAATATTAATAAAAGACCGGTCCGGACCACGGTCCTCAACAAAAAGATCGGTCCGGTCCCGGTCTAAGACCGATAGGACCGGACCGTTGACCTTCACTACATTAAATAATCTAATGAATTAGAATAAAATTTGACTTTCATTTTCCCTTCCATTGGAATAAATGAATGATTTGGCCATTATAAATCTATTTTCAAGATTGGTTTCCATTCTTAAATATTCAATGTTGCTGACAAATATATAATTAATCCCTAGGATATTAATTCCCGCATAATTATATAAATCCATAGGAGTTAGTCTATGATTTTCATAAGGGTATTGCAGGCTTGCTCTAGCCGCCAACCTCTTAGTAAAAATATTATATTTATATAATTTGTTCCACTTTTCTAAAGATTGCCATATCTCATGAAGTAAACTTAGTTGAGAATTAAAATTTTATATTTTACTATCTTCAGTTAATTTGATATGGAATATAACATATATATTATGTTATCAAATTCTTCGACATATATCACTGATTTTTAAGGGGAAGGGCATATGGTTGGTTTTTTGGTAATAACTTTGGATTAATTTTGGGTTTACACAAAAATTCACTGATCAAATTTGATATTTTACAATATTAGTATAAAACCAAGCTGATGCTGATACGATATTTATATGTTCCATTGTTAAATTCATGGAAGAACACAGAAATGGAATAAATCATATTTAAATATTTAAAAATATCATTTTTATTTTAAATTTAAAAGTATTGCTTCTTCTACATAAAAAATATGTAAAACGTTATAAATCTAACACTATAATTTAAAAAAAGCAAACTAACTTTCACGAATTATTAATTGTATTTTTTTTTAATCTCCAAAGGTTAAGCACCTTTAAAATATAAACAATATTAATAAATGAATGTTGTATTGTTAAACAGCTATATTTAACGATTTTGAAAAAGGGCTACAATATTTTACCCAAAATATTATTACTTAAGCCTCAAAATCTGCCAATCCAAACATTTCTGCCATCTGTGGGTAAAATTGGATTAATATACTTTTCGCCAAAATCTTGAGTTAAACGTTTTTAAAATTGGCTAAATCGAACCATTTAACATTAGATATTTTATAAAAAATCCTTTTCTTTTTGCAGATAATATAACAAAAAAATGGTATAAGATTTTAAAATATTTAAACATTTCAATAAAATTGGATTTTAGTTTCCTTTCATTAATTTATTATGAAATTATTTATAAAATAACAAAATTTATGACTATATAAAATACCCAAAACAATTAAAATATCGGATGGGCACAGGCACAGCCCTCTTTATTATAATTAAAATGTTTTTATACAAAATAAGAATAAAAATATATCATTATTTTATAAAATAAAATAAGATGCTATATTTGTTTATTTTATTTTATACAATATGTTTTATTTGCATTTTATATCTTTGGATTTAAGAAGATTGTAAACAGTTCATTTAGAAATATTAAACTTTTAGAACATTCTCATTGAGTATTATGAAAAATTTAATAATTTAAATTGTAATTAATGATAATTCGTTATATTTGTTTTCATTATTAATTTTGTTATTTGACATTTAATAGTTTTAAAAAGTTGATAAAATTTTATAATATAAATGAATGAATCCAATAAAAAACACAAATGCCCTTTATAGGGTTCTTTAGCAAATGAACAAATAATTAAAAATATGCCCACTTTTTAAGGTAGACATTTGCCCAATTTATCAGGACGTCATAATAAAACTCTAATTTATTAAATTAGGTCTATGGTTTCTACGACGAATGTGTTCGCAAATACTCGGGTTCAACTGCCGTTTGGCGTTACTGTGTCGATGTGTTCGACTACCTATCCCTCTCGGCCTTGGTGGAGGGTGGCGTGTTTTGCGTTCACGGTGGACTTAGTCCCTCTCTAAGCAGTCTCGATCAAATTCGTGCTCTGGATAGGAAACGAGAAGTACCTCATGATGGGGCCATGTGCGACTTACTTTGGTCCGACCCTGATGAAGCAACACCCGCTGGATGTTGGGGAGTCAGCCCTCGTGGGGCTGGTTATCTCTTCGGGCCGCGCGTCGCCGCTGAGTTTAATGAAACCAATGGGTTAGTCCTCGTGTGCCGAGCCCATCAACTTGTGATGGAAGGTTTTAAATGGCACTTTCCACCTCTTATATCTGTGGCTGGCGATACTATATCGTCCAGCATTGGTATCACCAGCAATGCCGAAAAGTCAACCATTTCCAGTAATTAAATTTATTTTTTAAAAGTAATTATGTCTAGTCTATTTTATTTTAAAATTAAAGGTTTCTTGTCTATTTTATTTTAAAATTAAAGGTTTCTTGAAAGTTCTACTTGTAAATATAAGTGAAAGAAAATGAAATAATTAATTTCAGACTAGAATCATTTATATTTTAAATCACTTCTATTGATCATTTGGATGAAATTTTATATTTCAAACTAAAATACATAGCCATTCAAATTTTGGCATCCTGACTCTTCTACTTCTGAATATATCAGGAGTTAAAATATAAAGTGACATTTATTATTATTCTTAATCTTAGCCATTGTCATTGTCATTTAATTTAACTCACTCTTAAGTTTGAAATTCATGTAAAAAAGGAATTTATCCGACTTTTATAAAATATTATGTAAATGTAACTAAGATCAATCTATATAGAAAAATTTGAATACCAGGTTTTTATGCTATGGAGAAAATTGTAGTATTGTTAATATACCGCGCTCGCGCTACTTTTATTAAAAAAATAGCCATTGCTGAAGCTCACTACTAATTTTCAATTTTATTTAATAAATACACGTAAAAATTATTAAAACATATTTATAATTATTTCTAAAATAATAATCTTTTTATTTAGTTTAATTTTGAAATTTATATTTAAAAATATGCCTTTTTAGTTTTCAAAATAATTTGAAATTTATAATGTCCACGATAGAGATTGATATTGAATATAATTTTGGTATACCGATCATATCGACAAAATAATTTTCCTGGGAAATGATGGGAATATAAAAAAAAATTTTGTGAATTTGCAAAATATTTTGATTTCGATAAAATTTTAACATAGGGTATAAATTTCATTGTGAGATATGCCAGGGTTTTATCATCAAACAAGACTGGGAGCCTCAATGAGGACACATTTAGAAGTAATATCAAACAAATTTAAGATCAATGTTTAGCCTCATCCTTTATCTTTAAAATAAAATGGATTAAAGTTGTATCTAATCTTTTTTTTGAGCAATTGAGTTTATTTGAAGGTTGATTTTCTAGTCTAGTCCAAACATTGTATGTTTCGACTGGCCATAGAATTATTCAGAAATTATATTAAAAATTACAATAAATAATTAATAGTGTTATCTCATTTTATCATCAGACTCATATTTAATGATAATATTTTATAAATTATTATCCGGTTGTTGAACATGCTATAAATTAACCACTTTCTATTTTTTTTTATCAAAACATGCTAAAAAAATACTTATTTCAATCCTTTCACATTTTACAATTTTGTGATAAATTTTTAAATATAAAATCTTCTTTTACCATATTAAAGTGAAACGAGTGTTAAAAATCAACTAACAATAAAAGGGGATAAATATAATAAAATTTTATTTTAATTTAATACATATTGAAATTAAATATGGACAAGCAATTAATTAACAAGATTAATCGTTTTTAAATTAATAAAAAGAAATTATGTTGTAAATATAAATTTGTAATATAAAATGGAAATTTTTTTTTGATCTTCTTTGAGAATGTTCAAGTAAGATTTTTGTTTAAATTTTATCTAAAATTCTAAATCATTTTTTGTAAAAAGTCTTTTTGATATTTGAAAATATTTTAGAATTTCTTAAATGTAATCTATTTTGAAATTTTGCACCAATTTATTTCGATAAAAATATGATAATACTATAAAATTTTTTAATAACTTCGATAAAATAATTAATACATAAAAAATATAATTATAATTTATCAAAATATTCTTTTGTTCCACTAATTTGATGATGGTACCTATTTAGAAATTAAAAGAGTTAATATTATAATTATTAATACAAATCAATTAAAAGGATTACCTAATTAATCAGTTGCCCGCGATAGCCCAACTCCAAATAGTTTTGCATGTGATTGTAAAAGTTAGTAAAATCATAAGGAATAAATCCGTGTAAGAGCTGAATAATATTCCCAATAATTTCATCTCTTGAATTAGGGCGGGGATTTATTGCTCGATATTTATTTTTCAAGACTCCAAAAAAAATTTTGATGGGATTTAGCTGAGGTGAATATGGTGGTAGATATTCAATCTTATATTTATATGCATCGATAAGATGGCTTCTATGGATAGATGCATTATCCATTAAAATAATTGCATCTGGTGGTAAGGCACTCATAAGCTCTGTCATAAAATCATGGAATAACAATCTCCTTCGATTATTTTATAATGGATTACCCCTCCAATTCCAATTGTATAAAGTATGCTTACATTTTTACCCTTAGAGGATGGAATTTTTATTACTGGACGGACATTGTATGGTGCCCAGGAGTAGATTGGTACAACGTGCAAGTTTATTCCAGTTTCATCTAAGAAATATAATTTTTCTCTTGGGGTATTTAAGATCTTTACACAATAGATTTGACGAATATTGATTGCCCCAGGAATATTTCTTCTATCAGGCTCCTTGCCAGCTCTTTCGACCAACCTATATTTTTTATATATTTGCTAATTGTTGTTTTCGTTCTTGGACTACCAGGAGGTAAATTTTCTATTATCTGCTGGATAGTAAAAGTATTATTATCCATCAATAAATTTATGATGAGTCTTTCAATTATGGAAGTATCTTTTTTTTTACTTCCTCTTTTTTGAATATTATATTCTTTTAAAGGTTCTCCATTTATATCTGGGAATGTGTCCCGTCTAAATTTATGAACTGATGCTGTAAACATTTTATTTTGCAATGTCTTTAATTTTCATCTGTTCTCTTTCTGGCATTGATAACATTTTAGTAATTATATCTATTTTTTCTTTATTCCAATATTTGTGTATTCTTTTTGGTCTTTGAATTCTCGACGAAAATTGGGAGTTTTCATTTAAATTGGAAAAATTAATATTACTATTGGATAATAAAGATTCTATATTAAACTTCTTTTTTTTATTATTTAAGAAAAATTTAAAAAATTAATAAAAGTCTAACACATTTTTTTATTTTTAATTAAATTTCCAACACAACGATTAATCTAGTTAATTAATTACTTGCCCATATTTAATTTCAATATGTATTAAATTAAAATAAAACTTTATTATATTTATCCCCTTTTATTGTTAGTTGATTTTTAACACTCGTTTATAAAGAGCGGGCAAAACATGAGACACTTGAATAATTACCTAAATAATTGTTAAGCTGTTAAGCTTATGTATGAAGTTTAATTACTTTAATTGCAATCAAAATTTATATCTGCCACATAATCTTTTACAATTGCATGTATTTTGCTTTTTATAATATTCCAATTGGTCATAATTTTGTTTAAAATATCCATAATATTTTGCTCATTATGTGTATAAGCAATCTTGTAATTGGTTGAGGAAAATTGATCATTTATTAGAAAAAAATTCAGGTTGGTATGTGTATCCTATCCAATCTAAAACATATGGATCATACCAGAGGTCTGCAATGGGCAGGTTTTTGGACCATAAACCCGCCCACCCAATGTTTTGAAAAAATTTAATTTTATTAACCCGCCTGCCCGCTCTTAGAATTTTTCCTGCCCGCCCAATGCAGACCTTTGTGAATTTTTTAACCATCTAATTGACACTTACCTACATCCCAAACACTTTTATTCAGTACAATGACATATAATATTAAAATAAACTGACCTTTCATTAATTAATATACATTTTGAAGGGTCTTTGAATATAAATCAGCTGTTGACACGCTATTTTGGTTTCCCATTTAACAATTATGAAACTGAGTTTTTCATTTTAAAGTTTTCCTAAAATTTTTTATATAAATTATTTATCTGAGGAACCAAAAAGCTTTTAAAGGAATGCATCCTCAGTCTACTTAATAGTGTATATCACTGATTTAGTAACATCTATAATATTCACTGGCCTTGTTTGTCAGATCTTATTCCTAAATGTGGTATTCGATGTGAATTGTTTTGTTCTAGCAAATGATGATAATCTTTGAAAAATAAATATGCATATAAAATGACAAAAAATATCGTATTAAAAAAGTTTAACTTCGATATCCACAAACTTGCCTCAGATACTTTGAATATCTTGTGTTGTTATTAGCACCAGGGTTTCCATGTCTCCCCTTATCAGCGGGAGACTCCCGCAATTTTTTAGTTTACACGTAGGCATCTCTCTCCCGCAAAACTACCACAATTGGAAATCCCGCAAAAATCTACCGCATTTTTTTAATTTTTCCCGCAATTTTTTTTTTATGATTTTAACGATTTTAATATACAAATAATTTTTATATCTTTAAAATAAATTTTAAATATTTATTCGAAAAACATGTCTAGTTTGTAAATTTCTTTCTATCCTGTTTTATTTTTATCCAATAATAAATCAACATAATTTCATTCATATAAGTCAGTACAAGGGAGTATATCAACATCGATTGCAATACAAAGATATTCTCAAAAATAAAAAATAATACAGACGCAACTACATTTGCGGAAATCGTATACATCTGTCATTTAGTTCAACATTCACAGAGCTATATCATCACAATGTGGGTCGAATCTTTTTTCTCATGATATTTAACGACTCCAATATAAGTGCAAACCTTATTTGTGACAGAACAAAAATGAGCAAGTCTATCACAAGTGTTTTAGTACCTGAATCCTAGAGGTCAATTCTAGACTATTTGAAAGATGGGCATCCATATGCAATTCTAACAGATGCATCTAATAAGGGAAATATTAAAACATTTCCCTCGATCCTTCGCTATTTTAACAAGAATAAAACATTTCAATAAAACTGTTAAAATTTTTTCCTCGGATAGTGAAAAATTCAACGATGTAGCTAGCCACATAATGGTAAATATAGCTGATTCAGGGTTATCAATGATTTGCATGTCAGCTTTCTGCGCTGATAATGCCTCTGTAAAAGTTACCGATTTGAGGCAGCACAATAATGAATTAATACTAATTGGCTGTATATGCCATATACTACATAATTCTTGCAAGAAGGCAATGAATATACTATCTGTGGATGTCGAAATAATTGTGATAAAATGTTTTAACGAATTTAGTTCATCAACTAAAAGAGTTGGTGAAGTGGTCTGACTTGGAATGGTGTGAGTTGTTGCGATATGTACCTATCAGGTGGTTATCATTAATACCTGCCATCGATAGAATTAAAATTTTACTAACCCTTAAATCAAAATTTTAAAAGCTGTCCTAAAATTTTGAAAAATTTTTTTGAAGGTGAAATGGCAGAAGCTTATTTGGGATAAGTTTCACATGTAGGAAATCTACTTCATGAAGTTAATATTCAGTTGCAATCAGAATATTCTTTATTAAAAAAGATTCACAAAATCATGCTACAGCTCTGTTCATCTCTACAGTTAAAAATTGATAATAAATTTTATGGCGTTATTGCTAAAAATATTATATTAAAATGTTTTATTAACACAATTTTAGAATATTTACAATCAAAATTTGATTTTAATAACTCTATTTACAAAGTATAAATATTATGACCTTGGAACAGAAACATCAATTGATGGTTTTTATAATTTAATAAATAAAATATATTAAAAACGAAAGACATTGATGTCGTGTTTGAGGAGATTGTAATTCTCTCTATTTTTATGATTCGCCAAAATACTTAAAGTTGGTCTAAAAGCAGAGGAGAAATGGGTAGAATTTTTTCGTAATAACGATAAATCCCCATGCTTAAAATATGCGAGTATGTCTTCTCCTTACCTCATTTTAATGCCTCATCCGAGCACATTTTTAGCCTGATGAGGACTGCCTGGAAAAAGGAGAGAAATCGGATTGCTTTAATAACATTAGAGGCCGAGCAAATATATATGTCATGCTAGGAATTTTATGAATATCTCAATAACGACGATAAACATTTAGTTCTATTATTTAAATCTCAAATAAAATATAATTAAGTTTTAGCAATTGCACCATAAAATTTATTATTAATTTTTAACTGTAAAGATGAATACATCTGCAGCATAATTTTGTGAATCTTTGTTAAGATTCTTCTGATTGCAACTACACATTAACAGCATGTAGTAGATTTCCTACATGTGAAATCATTCCTAAATATACTCTGCCATTCATTATTGAAAAAAATTTTCAAAATGTTAGGACAGATTTTATAATCTTTATTTAACTAATATTTTTTTAAAGGTTTATAAAATTTTAAAATTCTATCGATGGCGTGTATTAGAAACATATCGCAACCAACATTGTGCTGACTCAATTCTGTAAATATATTCTGTTTTTACCAAATTCACTGAGGCATTATCAGATCAGAAAGCTGACATGCAATTTATTGATAATCTCGAATCTGCTATATTTACCATTATGGTTAGATATGTCTTTGGATTTTTCACTATTTGAGGGGAAAAAATTTAATAGTTTTATTGAAACAACCTTAATTTTGTTGAAATAGCGGAGGATTAATATTTCCCTTATTAGATGCATCTGTTAGAATTGCATATGTATGTCGATCTTTCAAATCGTCAAGAATTGACCTCCTGGATTTAGTTTCTAAAACATTGATGATAGCCTTGCTAATTTTTGTTCTACAAGTATAGTTTTCATTTATATTAAAGTCGTTAAATATTATGGGAAAAAGATTCTACCAACATTGTGTTGATAAGTATCTCTGTGAATGTTGTACTACAAGATAAGTGATTCATTTGCCGCAACTGAAGTTGCATCTCTATTATTTCTTATTTTTGGGTACCTTATATGTATTTAAACGTGATAAGTGATAATTAAGCGCATCCCTATAATTTATACACACACACGGTAGATTTCCAATTGCGGTCATTTTGCGGGACATTCGCATAAAATATATTTTTAATTGTAAAATTTAATAAAATTTTATCTTGTTTACATTCTTTTATATTTAAAAAAGATCTTTGGTTTTTTTATAAATTATTATATTTTAATAAATCAAGATGTTATTTTATTTTGAAAAATAGCGGCCGAAGGTCGGAACATTTTAGCAATTTTTATATTTTCTCCAGCAATTTTCATATTTCTCCCGCATAATACCAAATTTCTCCCGCAATTTGAATAATTTGACCTGGCAACCTTGATTAGCACAGAGAAAACTATTTGCAATTCATAGATCTTGATTCCTGTAATAATTTTAAGCGCCTTATTAATACTTTATCATTGCTTAAATTTAAAAAAGATATTCAGGTTTTTCCATAAGGTATGAATAGTCTAAATGAAGGAAATGGGTATTGTTAGTATTTTGAAAATTTTTATCATCCATTTATATGAATTCTTGCTCCCAATATTTTTTCCAGTCAAGAAACACTGTTATCGGTCCATATCTAAGTTACTGATCATATAAATTATCAATAAATCCGCTCTGATCCTCCGTCAGAAACAGCGGGCAAGCTTGGATGGCTCTATTTAAAACATTTGAATTATTTAGAATATTAATAATCTTTGTACAAATAATACGATTTTTGTGCGGAAAGTTAAAGTCCATGTAAAATATGGTTAAGAAATATTTAAAAATCTATTTTTAACATCGTAATGGCCTAATTATTACTATAGAGCAATTTTTTCTATTTATCCCCAAAAGCCCTACTCTAAATAAAAAATTTTGTCCGGCCCGAATCGGCTTCTTAATTGAGGAAATAAAGTTTTACATTTTTTACAATGAACATAATCGAATTTTTTTTTATCTTTATCAATATCTTTAAGATTCATTATTTTACTCCTATAATTTTTTTTAATGTTAAACACATATATTTTAATATAATATAAAGGGTTCATTTTTATTCACAAAATAAAAGTATATGGCACCTTGTTTCTTAATTACAAATAAATGAAATTAATACCTTTTAATTCTAAAAAAAAAATTATACAAACAAAAAAAATATTGGCGCCTTGATTCTTAAAAAGATTTAAAAATTACATCAATTTTATTACACAAAATTGAATTATTTATATTTCAAATTTAAGATCGGTCTCAATTTTTTAAAATTATAAAGCCCGAATCATCGATAACCTTTTGCAGATTTCAAATATAAATTTATATCGAATTTTTATAAACTAAATATTTTTTATAAATTAAAATCCAAAAATTTAGGGCCTAATATTAAAATAGGTCTAGTTAGAAATTAATAACAAATTGATTACCTGCTTATTTAACTTATTACTGCTGTGTTTTTATTCTTGCATTAAATAATCATAAATCCCTACCCCCGCCCCCCCCCCTCCATCCCTCAAAAAATTTATACACTAAATATATCTTTAGTGACAGTTTAAAATAATACCAATTTCAATTTATCATATCATTGATTTCATATTAAAATTATTTAATCTATTTAATAACACAAGAAGATGATAATTATACAAACGGCATCGGTGGTACTGTATTAACTGTTTGGTCCGCACCGAATTATTGTTACAGATGTGGTAATGTGGCCGCTATTTTGGAATTGGACGAAAATTTAGGAGTTAATTTTAAAATTTTCGAAGCGGCACCTAGAGAAAACTCAAAAGGTGCACCCTGCAAATTACCTCAACCAGAATATTTTTTGTAGTTCTATAAAAATTTATAAACGCTGGATCTATATTCTATGTAATTTGTGAGTAAATATGTAGATTTATTGTACAATTTGTAAATTTATATAAAACAACTCATTTATATCCTCCAAAAATGTATTAATAAATTTATTTAAGATAAAAGCATTTATAAACCAGGATGATTTTAAAAAATTTAATATGAAAGCTATGATATTTATTTGACAAATCGTTCAAAGAACGCTATTCTTTTTTTTCAAATTAGTCAAATAAAAGTAAATCTTATATTTTAATCAATATTAAAATATCGGTGTAAACAAGCTATTTAGAAATTTGAATGCTTGCAAATTCGCACGACCATTGTCAGTTAAGTAAAATTTTATTTTACATTGTTTATGGCATGGTTAAAGTTATAACCAATCATGTAAACAGCGTCCGTCTACATGAGCTGGTGGTTGGGGGTGCAGTTTGCTTCCATTTTTAAGTGGGGGGGGGGGGGGGTAGAAAATAACTATAAATGATTATTAAACTATAGATGAGATTCGTCAAAATAATATTGCTAAGCAATTTATATATTACATACAATCAGTTATTGTTTTTCAAATAAAACTTATCTGGATACTTTTCTCCTATATTCTAAAATGTAATTTAAAAAGGTATATTCTTTCAGTAAACTCATATTTAGGCTAAACAATATATTGTAAAATGCATCTATTGTAAATGAGGGCGTTTTTAATTATTTATGTTCTAATAATAACTCTTACATTTACTTTTTTGGCAGAATAGTTATAGTTCAATTTATTATTAATAGAATACCATTATAATTAAAAAATATTAATGAAAGTACTAGAGAGGGGGATAGGTATAGGGTTTTGAGGACTCGTGAACAGGGTTGCCATGTCCCCCCACCAGCGGGAGACTCCCGCAATTTTTTAGTTTACACGCAGAAATTCTCTCTCGCAAAACTACCTCAATTGGAAATCTACCGCAATTTTTTTTAAAGTATTTTAACGTTCTTAATATATAAATAATAATTTTGAGAGACAGTAATTGATTATTTTTATATTTTTAAAATAAATTTTAAATATTTATTTGAAAAACATGTCCAATTTGTAAATTTCTTTCTATCTCCTGTTTTATTTTTATAAATAATAATCAGCATTTTATTCATATAAATCAGTACAGGGGAGTATATCAACATCGATTGTAATACAAAAATATTCTCCAAAAATAATAAATAATACAGATGCAACTACAGTTGCGGAAATCGTATACAACTATCATGTAGTTCAACATTCACAGAGCTACATCATCACAATATGGGTCGAATCTTTCCCATGATATTTAAAGACTCCAATATAAGTGCAAATCTTACTTGTGATAGAACAAAAATGAGCAAGGCTATCACAAGTGTATTAGTACCTGAATCCTAGAGGTCAATTCTAGACGATTTGAAAGATGGACATCCATATGCAATTCTCACAGATGCATCTAATAAGGGAAATGTTAACAAGAATAAGAACATTTTAATAAAACTGTTAAAATATTTTTCCTCGGATATTGAAAAATCTAACGATGTAGCTAACCACATAATGGTAAATATAGCTGATTCAAAGTTATCAATGATTTGCATGTCAGCTTTCTGCACTGATAATGCCTCTGTAAATTTTGGCAAAAATCAAAGTGTATTTACCGAATTGAGGCAGCACAATAATGAATTAATACTAATTGGCTGTATATGCCATATACTACATAATTCTTGCAAGAAGGCAATGAATGTACACCTGTAGATGTCGAAATAATTGTGATGAAATGTTTTAACGAATTTAGTTAATCAATGAATTAAAAGAGTTGGTGGAGTGGTCTGGCTCAAAATGGTATGAGTTGTTGCGATATGTACCTATCAGGTAGTTACAGTGGCGTAGAGAAGGGAGGGGGGAGTATTGGGGGGTGAACCCCCCCCCCCATACCCTCCGAAAAAAATAAATTTTTAATTTAAAAAAAAAATTTAAAATAATTTTTTAGAAAACTTTTTTTTTAATTTTTTTCTTATTGCAAATAATTTTATTTAAAAAATGGTTTCAATTTATAAATAAAATTATATACGATATGAAAATGAAAGAATTTTTAATTTTAAATGATAACATGGTTTAAAAATATATATTAAAAATTATATGTAAAATATTAAATAACAATAAAAATATATTGTAAAATTTTTTCTCGCATAGTTAAATTAGATATTTATAAATTTAATAATAAAATTTATATTGTTAAACTAATTAGATAGTTTTAAAAATTTTAATTAATTTTTTATAATTTTTAAATAAAAGAATCATTTAATTTGGGAAATATAATGAGAAAATAAAGGTGATAGCTAATATGTTTGGGATTAAAAATTTTAAACCTAGAGTAGTTTCTAGATAGTCCAATCGCTTAAATATTGATGCATCTACGATTGAGGATTTTTATAAAATAAATATTTTTATTTCAATTAAAGGAAAGATTTATTAGTCACAATTTTATTTTAAACAGCTTTTATTTACTTTTGCCGGATGAGTCTAATACACTTGAAACGCGAGAGGATATTAAGAAAATCTCTATTCCGATGAATTATCAGGATCGTATGATAACTTACTTTGTGATGTCGAATTTTAGTATAAAAATTTTGACAGAATAGAGTACTCTTTGAGACCAAAATATGCTTTGCAAGCCTCCATGTATAATTGTGCTTTAGATTCCCTGCCTAATATCAAAACATTGCTTTTTATCTTAGCTACCTTACCGATTAGCACCTGCACTAATGAAAGGTCTTTTTCAACTTTTGAAAAGGTTAAAAACCTATTTAAGAAATAGCACCGGTGAAAGCCGTTTAAATGGATTCGCAATACTAAATATTTATGAGATTATTCTAGATAAAAATGTGATTCTAGTTGAATTAGTCAAATCTCAGAGAAAAGTAGACCTCTCTTTATAAATTCAAATTATAAAATTGCTATATTATAATATGATCTTAGTCATAAAATTTTTATATTCAAAACGTAATTATAATGAATTCTTAGTCATAATATTATATATTATACTATTTTTAATAAAAATATTGCATTTGCACTATGAATTAATGATCTGCATCGGGCCTAATTTTTCAAACCCGGCCCTGCCCGAAATTATTTTAAAAAAGTCAGAATTTATTTTTTTAAGTTTTGTCGGCCGAATTCGAATTTATTTAAATATAGAAATTCATTTTTATAATTACTCAAAATAAAAGATATATGTTATATTACGTCTAGTTTTTATAAATAAAATCAAATATTTTATTTTACATAAAAATTTAACATAAAATGATATATTTAGATATATTTTAAAAAATTTCCAAGGCCCCATCCAACCCGGCTCGAATTTTTTTAAAAAATATTAGGCCCGACCCAGCTTGATTCCGATTTTCCTACTTTTGTGGATATCTAATAAGAATTATTTATGTTTTATTAATATACTCATTTGTATTAATTATATTATAATTGTTAAATTAGATTTTTTTTAAATACAGCACAAGAATTACTCATATTTTATTGTATTCTATTTTTTTTTAAATATAGTTATTTAGAATAAATTTTTAATATAAAGTTTTAATTTTAGCCCTAGTTGCCCCAACTAACTGTAACTATATACAGAAGCTCCTAGGGTCTTTCCTTCTTTTTATTAACTTTAAGATTTTTCACTTAAAAATTAAATTCAATTTTATTAACCAATAATAACTTAAAATAAGTCTTACCATTCATCCTAGCAAACAATTAATTTGCAAATGATTATGCTACCTTCGCACGTTCAAATTACCGCGGCCATTAAACTTTTATCATAGGGCAGGCAATACTAAAAACAACTGCTTTTAGCTAAGTATTTGTTAAACCTACATATTTTAATCGAGTAAATTGATTAATTCACACATAATATTTTTACTATAAAATATTACTTATTTCTACTAATTAAAGCAAATTAATTTTAATTAATATATAACAAACTACAATACACATTAAAAGATTTTATCTCAATTTTATATTAACATTTTATTTATAATGGTTAACTTTACTTAAAAGAGCTCACCCCTATTAACTTCGGAGATTTACTCACCGCATTCTAAAAGAATTATTATCATTAAGCCAGCTATAAAAGAACAAAATGAATTTCACCTTAATAAAATTTAAGTAAAAATTTGAAACTTTTTACTTAAATTTTATTAACTATCTTCATTATCTGGATAGTTAACAATAAACTTTTTTATCACCTAATCGTGTTGCAACAGGAAACCCTAATATATCTTTATATTTAACCCCCTTTCAGGACATCAACAATTTATTTTATCAAAAAATATACTATAATTAAAATTTTTAAATTTTTACATAATTCACCTTTTCAGTGTAAATGAAACGCTCTATTATAGAATTATATAAGCTATATGTAATAGACCTTCTTTCAAGAGGGCCTACTTTGTTACGACTTGTCCCTCTAGGGAATGACAGGCGATATGTGTATAGTTTAGAGCCTTTTCATTAAAATACTCTTATTTTAATTACTTCTAAATCCTAAATTTTTTTATATGCAAATTTAATTAAAATAATTATTTTTAACATAGAGTAAGATATATTGGGTGATCATAAAAAATGGGAGGTTTGGGGTGCGATTTTATTCTTCTTTTTACACCGAATGGATTGATTTAATTTACAATTGACTAAACATTGATATAATTTTCAGAATAATGCTTTCAGTCGCGTAATCATAAATTTGGCAAAAATTTTGTTACTAATATTTTTTTCATTTATGCTGGCTACTATACTGATTAGACACCAATAAAGCACAAAATTAGCAAATTTTTAAAATGCGGTTTGGGAGCGAAGCCCCCCCCCACCAATTTAACCCACCCCCATGGATCAATCCTGGCTACGCCACTGGGTGGTTATCATTAATTCCTGCTATCGATAGAATTTTAAAATTTTACAAACCCTTAAAAAAATACTTCTTAAATAAAGATTTTAAAAGCTGTCCAAAAATAAAAATTATTTCGAGTATGAAATAGCAGAAGCATATTTGGGATTAGTTTCACATGTAGGAAATCTACTTCATGCAGTTAATATTCAGTTGCAATCAGAATATTCTTTATTAAAAAAGATTCACA